CACAAACAATTTTTTGAGCAGAAAAAAATTCCAATTATTCTAATTCAACATGGCACTAGAATGGCACTTGGAATCCTCCGTGACACATTTTGAGTGCCAAATCAGTGCCACCTCTAATATTATGCCAAGTGTCCTGTTATTATTTACATTTTAATTTTTTAAAAATTCAAATTAATTTAATTTAACACAAATTAACTCTATCATCTAACACTTTGAACCAAACCAACCAACCGGTCTGATTCCATTACCAATACTTTCATCATTGATTGGCTTCACTTCCTTCAAACCCTTCAAACCCTTCACTGCCGATTCCTTCTTCCTCCGATGAAGTCCTTTTGATTGGCTCATCTTCACTGCCGATTGGCTCACCGTCAAAGGCATCTTCACTGCCGATTGCCTCACCGGTTGGTTCCCTTCTCTTTCGAGCTCCGGCAAGAGGCAATTTCATGTACTTCATGGCTGAGTTGTAGAAGGAGGAAGAAGATTGGGCTACGGTTGATTGTTCTAAGCAATCAACGATGAACGAAAGTATCTTTTAGGCTACGGTTGCTTGGAGGCAATTGTTTAGGGGTATCTTTTTCTTTTTCCCATGCCAATCAGATCTTGAGTGGTTGCTGAACGAAAGTATTGGTAATGGAATCAGACCGGTTGGTTGGTTTGGTTCAAAGTGTTAGAGGATAGAGTTAATTTGTGTTAAATTAAATTAATTTGAATTTTTAAAAAATTAAAATGCAAATAATAACAGGACACTTGGTATAATATTAGAGGTGGCACTGATTTGGCACTCAAAATGTGTCACCGAGGATCCCAAGTGTGTCACGCCTCAAATCTGATAATCTTATTTAAAAATATTTAACTTTTAGTTTAGAGCACGGCACTAGCATACCCTCTTAAGAGGATACAAAGCCGCTTGATAAACTTATAAATACAAATCAATAATTATATGAATCTTCGAATGTGTTTACAAAAGTCCAAAATGTAAAAAATCACTCATACGTCTCACTCTAAGTTCACAATTTATATACATTACTAGAGTAAAAAAAGTTGTGCAGGCAACAATTTAGCAAAACTTAACTCTAAGAATATAGCCTGATCAAAACTAGTTTTGAAGCCTTCTTAGATTTGATTCTATACGTAGGAGAGGAAATTAAGTGGAGTGAGCATCCACTTGCTCAGCAAGTAGCCCAACAGTATCTCTATTGGATCGAGCATATTAATAAGATATATAATATTTAATAAAATTATTTCACAAATTAAATCACCATTAACACATTACATATACAATGCATAATTATGCATGAATTCATATTTGATTATTCTTAAATTATAATCCATATGTCTATTCCTCTTTTCACTTTGCCTTGAAATAAAGAATATGTTACGGTCACTTTATATTCATGACAGAGCCATTGCCTACAATTCTTATCCATGACGGGATCATATGTAGGTTAAAAACATAGTTCTGGATGCTATACAACATGTCACTTTGTACCCATGATAGAACCATTACCCACTATTTTTACCAGTGGTAGGGCTGTATCGGCATTTAACACAACAATTCTAGAACCTTTTCCTAACCTTTACTTGTTTTAGCACATAACACAAGCATTCATGGGCACAAAATAATAAACTAATTACGTATGCTCCATCCCAATTAATATAATAAAATAATTTCCATGACAATTTGCAAATAACATTCTCAAAATCATAGAAATATGATAAAGCCAGTTACCTGTTAACTAGTATAAACCGAAATTCATCCACAGAGTCACCCAAATCCTTTTTTAATCTTCCCCTAAAACTCTAAAAATTAGAGTATTAACTATTTGCTTGAAACGCCTAAAAATATGACTGCTTACTTAAGAAATTCAACAATGGTAATATTCAATTGAATGGACATGATAACTAAAGCTATATACGTCAAAAAATTGTAAAACTTGTGCTCTTACAAACTAAAGTTGAAGTGCTAACAATCATTAGAAGAGAAATGTCAACGATTTGGATCATACACTAGTTTAAATTCAATAAAAAAAGTCAGTACATTTTCCAGCTCCCGTGTTGTGTAGGTTGGGAATTTCAGCAAATGCAATCCTTGGTTAAACACACATAACTCAAGTTATATATATCGAATCACTACAAAATTAGTAGCATTAGAAACTATATTTCGAGTGCTAAATATCTTCAGAGGAATCATTTAGCGAATCAATCAAAAGAGGGCCTTAATTTGGACCATAATTTAGCGCAATTTTCAATCCTTAACCATGTAGGTTCTCATTTTCAACCAATTTTGTAAATTTTCTGGTATTCATAGGCAACAAAACCAGAGTTGTAATTTTATACCATTTGAAAGATCCTTGAATTTAATTTTGAATGCAACTAATGGAACTCAATTTTGATTTTTCTATGCCAAGTGATGCCTAATTTTCCTAAGCTTCATAGAGGTGACTGTTAGTCGCAAAACTGATTGGAATTCCAGGTGTTCTTGGTTATTAATACAAAAATTCTTCCAATTTCTTGTGTATATCCATATCAATTTGCAGTATGGACTCAAATTTATATCATACTTAAATAACTTCTTACTCGTACATAATATTCAATTGGCTAGAAAACTTTTGGATTATTGGGGTTTGGGCATTACAAAAGCGGTGATGGTTGCTGCTGACTATTCTGAGCGTGGATCACCTACGTGTCTATCTAACATCCATAACAAGCAGCCTCCTGAAGTCATTTCTGACGATGGTCTCATTTTCTTTGTTCTTGCTGTTGAATCAGAGGATAGAGAACCTTAGGAACCATGAGTGAGTTGGTTACTCGGCCTAGCCATTGATATGCTGGTGTATTACATTTAATTTTTTATATGGACTTAATGGTGTTTAAATGGCTTGTTCAAATTCTTCAAACCAATTTTTTTTTTTTTAAAAAAGAATTTTATGCAGTAAATACCTCGTTTTGCTTGTTTATTTTAGGGGGAGAGAAAGGGATGGGGGGGTGTGGGGAATACTTTTGCACCGTGCTTAGTTGCTTGCTTGTAGAATACAAATTTAAGTTGATGCAAGAAATGGACTGTCTTTACATATGCAAGAAATGGACCGTTAATGGAGATAGAGGGATGATCTCAATTTCCAGAATTTTAGAAAAGGACACAATCAAACCAATTTGACACCAGAAACACAAATAGAGACAAAATACTCTTCTATCTTTTCTTTTTGTGGTGAGGGAGGAGAGGTTTGGGATGAGGATTTAAACGGGTCGAATTGAACTTCATTGGGGCAGAATAACAAAAAATAAACCATGAAAAACACCTAAACACATCCAATGTTTCCGTTTTCCAAAACTAAGTAGGTGGAACATGCTGAATTTTTTTTTTTTATTTCCAATGTTAAAGGAATGTATGGAATGAGTTGTTCCCAAATCACCAACAATCCAGTGTAGAGCTTCGTCAGAGTAATTTCTCAAAATTGTGATATTTAACAAATGTTCCCACCATTTTCTAGCTTGAGGAAATGGTACATCATTAATTTTAACAACCTCCAACTATCCTCAACAATAATTAGAAATACAAGCTTCAATTTTACCCCGAAAAGGTGCTATTAATTTCTATTAAGTGGTAATTTTTTTTTCTATTAAGTGGTAATTGTTGCACATAAAACTACTTTACCATCTCTGTTTTTTGCACCTTTAAAATGTGTAATTTGTAATAAAATAAATGCTTGAATCTGCATGCCATATGCATGTTCTATATGTACAAATACATATGCTTATGCGTACCTCTACATGGTGATATATACTGATGATCAAAAGAGGAAGTTGAAAAGAGGAAAGTTGTATCAGTAATTAAAAGTAGATTACCAACTTAATTGCCATATATATATATGTCAAACATAAACACCAAGTAAAATGCTTGGCGTTTCATGACATATAAGCTGGGATCATGAACTTGTGGTCCTTATATCTGTAAACAATTTATTGGTAATACATTAACATATCTCATTCCTTCCTTGAACTTTAAGCATTTCGGTGGTGCACCAAGTCAGGACAAAGAATTCCCCAAATACATTTGCACCTCAGGGCTCTGCCATGTATTGAGTGGAAAAACATAAGTACTACTTGAATGAATAATAATCCTTGGAATAAGCTTTTGATATACCATATGATTGAAGAAAAAAGTTGCTATTGGATTATTGGTTTTATACCTGCTTCAAGGTGTGATGTCTTTGATAAACTGGAGTTTGATCTTCTGCAGCGCTCTTAGTACTTCTTTCATGTTTATTCTCTCCTCAGGAGCATCTGTTGTACAACTTAAACCAAGTTGCAAGACAGATGATATGCAGTTAATCTTCTTTTGTACCAGTTCATTTTCAGGATGAAGTAAGTCTCTGTCTATAACTTGAATCACAGAATCTGGTAAGCAATCTTGTACCCAACGCCTGAGGCTTAACTCTTCTGTGAACATCTCATCCTTAGGCTTTCTTTTTGTAAATGTCTCCATCAATGTAATTCCAAAGCTGTAGACATCACAACTTGTTGAAACCAATCCTTCCAGTCCATACTCTAGCACCAAAATGTGAAACTCGCGGTTAAAGTCAAATTTATGTTTTTTCTTAAAGGTTTTATATTTGACATACCGTACTAGTTGTTGAAAGTTGAAACATTAATTTGAATGATATAAAAATTTCGAAATTTGAGTCACCTGGGGAATATATCCAAATGTAGCAAGAGTCTTTGTTTGTACCACCGATTCTCCATCTCCTAACAACTTTGCAATTCCAAAATCGCAAACATGTCCAACCATGTCTTGATCTAGGAGAATATTGCCAGGTTTCAAGTCACAATGAACTATAGGAGTTGAATAACCATAGTGGAGATATTCCAAACCAGAAGCCACATCTATCGTGATATCCAACCTTTGCATGATACTTAGGACATGATGGTTTACATGAAGCCATTTCTCAAGGCTTCCATTGGGCATGTATTCGAGCACCAAAGCCTTAAAGTCAAGGTTAGAGCAAGCAGTAATCACTCTAGTTAAATTTCGATGACGAAGGCAGCTTAAGATTTCACATTCTCTGTCAAAGCTTTTAAATGCACCTTCTGGCTGCAAATCGAATACCTTTATGGCCCAAACCATCCCATTTTCGCGAATTCCCTTGTAAACTGAACCAAAGCTCCCCGAGCCAAGTAAGTTACTCTCGCTGAATCCATTTGTTATTTGTCTAAGTTCATGGAAGGATGCCCTTTCAAATGTCGCCATGGGAAGCAAGTTCTGAGTTGGAGCTAGAATTTTCTTTCTCAGCTTTAACCGCATCAAAAAAATTGAAATTACCAAGGCTAATATGATAGATCCTGATGCCAACAGAACAATCATGACTATCCTTTTTTTCCTTGATTCATGCTCAAACGTACTTGTACAAGGTTGGAGCCAAGGAGCGCCACACAATGCTTCATTTGAGAGAAAAGATAGGTTCGTGAAATTTGCGAATGGCCCTCCATGAGGAATCGGTCCTCTCAATCTGTTGTAAGACACATTAAAGTATTTGAGATTTGACAGTACCTGTAATGAGTTGGGAATTTCACCTTCCAGATTGTTAAAAGATAGATCCAAATGCCATAACTGCAACATATTCTTCATGGAATCTGGTATCAATCCTTGCAGCTTGTTACGTTCAAAGGAGAGTTCTTGCAAATCCTGTAGTGCTCCAATAGTGCTAGGTATCCCACCCAAGTATTGATTATTTGAAAGGTTCAAATAGACTAATGCCTTGAAGTATCCAATATCTGCGGGCAAAGAACCTGTCAAATAATTTCCTGACATGTCTAGCTCCAAAATATCTCTAAGGCTCCAAAAGCTTGTTGGTATCACAGATCTTAAATTGTTAGAATAGAGATAAACATATCTCAGTGTTGTAACGTTTCCCAAACAAGAAGGCACCATACCAGAGAGCTTATTTTTTGCCAGCAAATAACAAAGCTCACTTGGAATAGCTCCTTGTATCTGATTGTCAGTTAGCTCTATGACCTGAAGCTTCAACAACCATTTGATTGTAGTTGGAATTACTCCAGTCAAACTATTGATTGAAAAGTCCAGCTCAATCAAGTTGCTCAAATTACCAATCGAACTTGGAATTTCACTTATGATTCCACAACGAGCGGCAGAAATGGATTTTTCGGGTGAGCTAGAAAGATTTCCAATAGACTTTGGGAGGAAGCCATTCAGAGGATTCTCATCTAACCACAACCTTCTTAAATGTTTGCAATTTGATAGGGATATGATGAAGCTCAACTCTTTGGATAGCGAGGCCTCAGAAAAACCATTTTGCGATATAACAAACTGTTCCAGTAATCTCAAGTTTCCAAGAGAACGTGGAATTGCACCAGTAAAATGGTTATCGCCAAGGTCTAGGATTCTGAGCCTAGAAGCATTTAGGATAGATGTTAGTATAGTTCCAGTGAATTCATTTACCCCAAGGTAGAGTTCCTCAAGATTGGGTAAGAAAGCACCTATAGTTGATGGAAGCTCGCCTGATAAATCGTTGTCCGTGACAGAAATAATTCGTGCAATTGAACTATTAAAAAGTTTCAGCGGAATGGGACCTCTCAACCTATTCGAGGCGAAGTCTAATAGTTCCAACTTGCTAAGATTACCAACCTCTTGAGGTATTATACCTGACAAATCAAATTGGTAAGAAAAAAATGAGTCATTTGACTTGAAACAATTTGTTGAGATAGGGAAGTATTTCCCATTGTATCATCAGTATCTCTATTTTTGAAGTGATCAATTGGAATTTGAAGTTGAGTTAGAGATGTAGGCTGTAGCATATTGAGATCAAGCTGATCGAAATCCTTTTAGCTTATGCAGTGCACTAGTATGACTGACCAATTGACGTATGAGAAAGAGCCATATTTGATTTGTATTTGAACTCGCTCGACTTCAAGCTCAAATTCAAGTTTGAGAAAAGTATTCTAATGATGGAATAATGAAATAGATCTAATGCCAAAATGTGTCAAGATTTTTACCTGTCACATTAGCACGCTGCATGCTGAGTTTCTCCAAATTATAGAGATTGTCAATGACTTTTGGAATTTCACCTGCTCAAAAATCACGGCTTGATGATAAATATAATTCACGGCATGGCATAATTATATGTATACAATATATATGCATTTCAGAATTCTAAGGATCTTCAGTTTAGTTTCAAACAATATCATGTAAATCTCTCATAAATATTGGCAAAATAACGATTACATACACTCCCAAAATATTATTTCATCCTTCTTTCACAATTTTATTTCTTACATCAAACAAAATTGTGTGTTTGGCATAGTCATTAATCCCGGCCTAGATATCAACCTGGCAAGGCCATTGGTGCAACAACTTAGCGGCTTAACCATAGATTTACTGATCCAACTATTTCCTTCCTCATTCAGTCCAACTACTGATCCAAGATCACTAAGTTGACCAATTGAACCATTGGGTTAGGTGAGGTTAGGTTTAGTAACTCTGCGTTCGCCATGCTTTGAGTTTTTTTTTCCTGACTTTTATCTTTATTTTGTTGAAAACAAAAACTTCTTTATTCACACGAAGTTTGCACCAATACTTAAGCAGTTAGCAATCATCAGAAATAGTGTATGTGATGTAAATTTTTCATGCAATTATGATTCTAGTCTCAAAATCCTTTAAACCCAATGAAAATTTCTCAATGGGTTAAAAAGGATTTTGAACAATTTTCATTGGGTTATGATGGATTTTCAGTCTTAATTTGTACTCTACACAATAAACTTACATAAATTAGTCTTGGATGACAATTGCCGGCTATAACTAATAATTACTTTATAATGTTGTTGCAAATTTTGATTGATTAAGGAAGAATATTTTAAATTTTACTTTTTTTGACAAAATAAAGATGAAAAAGTTGACAAATAAAAACATCAAAACATTGCAAACTAACAATTCAGTTTGAAATAAATAAAGATAACGTACAGAATGGGGCCGAAAAGAAGGAATCGTTGCTTATAGAAATCTGTGACTTTAAGATAAATGTTAAGTGTTTCTCCACACATTAAATCTGTGATCTATTGGTGCTTGAAATATACAAGAATTTTTCAAAACAAAGTGAAGTTGGCAGCTTACCTGTCAGGTCGTTCCCACCCAAATATAAAACTGTAAGCGTGGTTAGATTCCAAACTCCTTTTGATATATATCCTCGGAATTTGTTGTCAAACAAGGATAAAACTTGGAGTCCTGAGCATTCTCCAATGCCTGATGGAATTTCACCTTCAAAGTAATTCCCTGATAAGTAAAGCCCTTTAAGTTGTGGGAGATAATCGCAGATATGTGCTGGAAGGTAACCCGATAAGCTATTATTCGTAAAACCAATAAATTGCAACGAGGAGAGGTTAAATAGAGCCTGTGGCAGAGGGCCTGCGAGTTGGTTATGTTGAATTTCCAAAAGTTTCAGTTTCGGTAGAGCACTGAATTCTTCTGAAAGATTCCCCGTAAAGAAGTTGTGACCCAACCAGATGGTCTCTAACTTTGTGAAATTAGAGAGTCTGCCTGATAATGAACCTGAAAATCCGTTATCTCGGAAGGATAAGTATCGGAGTGCAGTTAAAGCTCCCAACCACGACGGAAGTTCTCCCTCAAAGGCATTACCTTCCAAGCTGATGTACTTCAATCGGCGCAGACGAGAGAGCTCGGTTGGAAGATGTCCATGAAAGCTGTTATTCATGACATTGAACCTGACGAGAAAAGAAATATTTCCCAGTTGTGGAGGTATAGTTCCCGCAATTCCCATGTAAGAAAGGTCAATGGCTGCGACTCTGTGATGACGAGTATTACAAGTGATTCCAATCCAGTTGCAAACAGAGGTAGATGTGGACCAGTTGGTTGGGATGATCCTTTGAGGATCGAAAATGGCGGCTTTGAAGGCAAGAAGAGCATTCAGATCAACAGTGTTGTTTTGGTTGTTGGCTACAATTATGGTAGCTGAGCCAGTTGCGATAAAGTGCAACAGTACCAAGGCTCCAACGAAGAGAAAATAAGTTGTCTGCATTGCTTATGGAGAGGTAAATAAAACTTGAGGAATGCCAAACAATTAATAAAACTTGGGCATACATTGTGACTTTGGGCAGGACTTATATAGGCATATACTTGGGGTTGAGTTAAAATGTTTCCACGAGGAAGTGACCAAATGAGCTTAACTCGTACAGGGTTTTCCTCAGCTTAGATCACTCTCAATTGAAACGCAACAATTCTTGGATTAAATAATTAGTTATAGGCCATCTAAGGTATTCCACCGAGATGATGCCAAAGTCTTTATTTTGGACGAAAAACTTCAACAATAATACTAAGGACTTGAAAACGTGGAATTTATAGTACATTGCATGACCTCAGTCTATTGTATGATCAATTCGTTTAGGTTAATTAGACTACACTAGAGCCAGTTTCATTATATTTATTTTCTATTTCAGATTTAGAAGGTTATCAGTGGAGGATGAATCAAAGAAAAGAGAGGGGATAAAGACAATGAAATTCTACCTAAAACCATACAAGTAAGTGAAAATAACCAAGATGTATACTCATAATGAGCTCTGCAATTCCATTCTCAATTTTGATTCCAGAATTTGAATCAAACACGTCCTAAATGGAAAAAGAAGAGAAGACTGAAGACTCGTTCAAGTGTCTTAATCCTCAAACTATCTTGCCTCATGAGGGGCCCTAATTTGTCTAAGTGTCTATTATGTGGAAAGAAAACAGTCGCACCAAAAAACTTCTCACCCGGTCCCAAGTCAAGAATTGACGCGTTATTCATTTTATTTCTGCTATTTCCTTTCAAGAAAGACCACAAACTGAGAAGGGAAGCTATTAAAGTTTGCATTTTCCAATTGACCAAAAGGCATTGGACCATAATACTCTCGTATGAATCCAGTCCACGCTTAACCCAGCATAGAAGATTGCCTATATACTTCTGTTCATTGGTTAATGGTCAGAGTCGTAAATGGCTCCATGTTACTAGAACTTCCCCAACTGGACTTTAATTATCTTCTACCCCACAAATGCATGGAAAAGCTAACATTCACTTTTGTGGATTCATCTAAAACAAAATTTGTGAGAACGTCTTCTTAGAAGTGAGTAGTCCTACAGCATTGGTGTAACGGTAGATTCAAGACTTCAAATTGTACCCAACTAACTGTTGTACGTAAACATGTTCTTAAAAAAAAAAAAAAAAAAATCATGGGATCGTTTGCAATTTATACTAAAATGTTACGTGTAATGTCTTCAAAAAGTTTAAGAACTCATAGATTTTTTTTCGCACTATGTATAATTGTACTTCAATATTGAATTTTGTTTTTGTTAAAAACTAACTTGAAGTTTTGGATTTTATTTTCTTGGGTGAACCACTTAGGGAGCCCCTTAACTATTCCAGTTATCAAACTATTGGTCTTTTATCTATTTCAAATATTGAATTGGTCCCTCAACAATAAAAAAGTGTCAAAATTTGAGATTTTAATTTATTTCTACCGTTATATCCATCATATTTCCACTTGGATGATGCCAAAATCTTTATTTTCGAAAAAAAACTTCAACAATAATGCCGAGGACTTAAATATGGGGAATTTAAAGTCTGTAACATGGCCTGAGTCAAGTGTGTGATAAATGCATTTATGTTAATTAGATGGTATAATTTCAGAAACCTCCCCTAAGGTTTTTGATAATTTCACTTGGCTCCCCTAAGGTTTCAAAAAATTACACATACCTCTCTTGTCCATTTAAAATGGGAATAATTTCAGAAACCTCCCCTGAGATTTCTGACAGTCTCACTCACTTCCCCTGAACTTTGCAAAATATCAGATACCTCCCCTGAACTTATAGTTGGTGTAACAAGATCAGCCCATGTCAGAAAAATGAGCATTAAAAAAATATTTTGAGGAGTGAGATGATATTTGTGTTACACATATGCCCTTTTTGCTTATCCACAACTTGAGCTAAAGCAAAAGCAAAAAAAGGAAGTAATAAGTTGAACCAGATAGAGACAAATGCAGATGGTTTCTTCAAGCAATATTACAATACTATTTATATTTTTTTGTTTTAGCTATTAGACATTTATTTAGCTAATATGATCATTCAATTAATTGAAACATACTTCTGGTGATATAAAAAATGTATAGTTTTACAATTTGAGTGATTAAAAGTATAAATTTTTATTAGTTAAGTCATAAAAAAATATTATTTGAGTGATTAAAAGTATAAATTTTTACTAGTTAAGTCACAAAAAATTTTTCACTATTTGATTAATTGAGTGAATGGCAATTGCAGTTAAATAAATAGTGTAACGATCAAATAACCAAATTCTCAATAGTTTAATAACTCTTTTTGCGATTTTCTCTGTGGAAAATGAAATGAAGTAGCAAGATGCTTCATTTCATTTAGTGCTAGATACTTTAGTTGAGATTTTTTAAAAAAAAAAAATAATTCACACTGTAGTTAGTCGAATTTATTCAACAAGCTTCGTTTGAATAGCAGAACTTAGGTAGATCCGATTTTCTAAAAATTCAATAATCCAAATTGTGTCACATCACTTTATGAGATGATGTAATATACAATTTACGTCATTGAATTTTTGAAAACCAAATTTACCCAAATATAAGTAATGTGTTACATTAGATAATTGTCTTACAAAAAAAAAACATGAAATACATGACTTAAGAGAAAGGTAACACTAGTGCTAAACTCTTCATTGGTGATTATACTACGAATAAAAAGTGTAAAGTGGAATAGAAGGTATATCAAAAGTTATATCTCTATTACTCATTTAACTAATTTTGTCAAAATAGCTTCAAAATATATTATAAGTTATGAGGGTATATCTGTCAATTCATCATCAATGATATCACAAATAGGGCCCAATAATCTGACAAGGGAGGTATCTGATATTTTGCAAAGTTCAGGGGAGGTGAGCGAGACTGTCAGTAACCTTAGGGGAGGTTTCTGAAATTATCCCTTTAAAATGACAACACTATCCTTAATAATTTTAATAAGACTCTTTTGTTGCCATGTTTATGCAAAGGATGGATTTAATTATTTTGTTTGCCTTTTTCCTTCCAATTCATTTCTCTTATATTTCATTAGAAGTATAGAAGAACTATCAATGTTGTCCCTAATATCTATTCAAATTAAACTTTAAACTAGTAATATTTTTTTGATAACTTTTAATATCCTCCAATATTTTTTGTAGCTTAAAACAAAATGGCCTAAAATCACTACCAAATTATGATAGTTCCACCACTAAACTAGTCCATAAATTTTTATTAAAAAAATAGTCCATAAACTTTAAAAGAAACAAAATAGCACTTTCTTCTCTATCATAAAAAGAATTTATATTCCTAGTAAAGCATTATGAAAAATACCATATTACAGCAAAAGATTTATTGTTATAATTAATTATCAAATAACAAATATTGACATGAAAAACTTGACACTTTTTTTGTTTAGAAAATTAAATTGAACTTTGTAGGATAGGAGCATTTTAAGGTATTTATTAAAAATTTTACTCTATTTTTTGCTCAGAATCTACGTGCATTTCAATCAGTCACTTGCAAGATATTTCCTGCCTACCAAGGAAGATTTATTCCTCATGTTGGACTTCGTGGTAAGCGGATTCTTCTTTCTAGATAGTGATACATAGTTATGGAGACTTTTAAACAACTTTTCTTGTCATTTGAGTCTATTTAACCCTAATCCGGGGTTGATACTAAAGTCACCTAATTTTACCATCTTGACGAAGACCACAAGAGTCGAAATCTATGTCTCTTCTTTCCATCTAACTTTTCTAAAGTGAAATGTAGAGAAAGATAAGTAATTATCTGAGTTTTCTGGCTCCAGTCTGTGGGAGATAAAGACCTTACACTACCATCACTGACTTGACTTAGGCCTGCAGCAGCTATTTTCTTTTTTCTTATATCCTTCCTGTTAATTGGATGGAAAGAAGCGAGAAATAGATTGGAGATTTTGACCCAAGACCTAGACCTGCTAAAGGTCTTCACCTTCCCCCTCCCCCCAAAAAAAAAAAAATTTCTTCCTGCTGTAGTTATTATCTTTTTTCTTACACACCTCTACAATTTCAAGTTCCACTTGCACCGTGAACTCTATCATCACTTGTGTGTGTGTGTGTGTCTGTGTGTGTTTTTTTATTTCTTTGCTTTCCAATTAATTGCACCATGCAGCACCCTTATTTCTATCTCTTTGTAACCATAGTGGATATGTGGATGAAAAGCATACTTGGTTTTGATACCAATGCACACCTTAATTGTGTGTAGTGAATAACTATCATTTTCATTGCATACCTTAATTGTGTTATTTCAGATTATTTGTAGCCTAAAATTTTTTCACATGTTTCAGTTTTGGCCAATAAGTTTACGCAGTTGACAAGAATTTATTGTAAAACTATCAATTCCTTTGCCAAAATTAACAAAATAGAAGAATTACTAAACAACAGCAAAATCCACTGAGAGAATGCTTTACAAAATACTAAAGCACTGAATGGGCTCACTTGAATTCTATAGCCCAAACGGTTCTAAGCAACAAACAGGAAAACAACCATACATGGATCCATGGCCCATCCATCCATCACGCATCAAATATCAAGTGTGTCATGGACACTATACATTTAAGTCATGAGTCCCAAAACTGAAAATTAAACCTTTCAGAAATGCTAAGAATAAAAACTAATCCTATATTCCTCTGCATAAATTTTTTTTTTCTTTTTCTTTGATGGTCTGAAGAATATTTTACTGACTTGGCATGGAGAAATAAAGAGCATTTCAGAATCCAAATTTGATTCTATGAGCAATTAATCAGCCAATTTGGCGATTGGAAGCATATACAAATGTCTGTGGAATAAGTCATTTTTTAAATTTGGAAATTTATAATGTAATTTTTATTATTTTTCAGATATGTTCTTTGATATCCATGTATATTTGATGACGTATTTTTTGTCATTAGTGCAGATTTTAAAGAAATTATGATATTTTTTCAAAAAAAAAAAACCCGGAG